GAGTCCCTGTCCTTAATGTTACCTGGAGGGGAAGAAAAGATGAATTTGCTGTCCTTAGAAAGAGCCTTACAGTAAAACGGTAAGCTGTCAGGAGTAATTGGATCAAGTGGGAGTGGAGATCCTAAGAGGACAAGGATTCTATAGTTACTGCATGCTGCTGTTAAATGAGGTAGAAAAAAAGGTAACTGGAACTGTCCTATGCTATGTATGCAAAACGAGGAGAAAATTGGCTTAATAAATAGCCAGAAGGGAGTCTTCACAGACTGTTTGGAGCAGAAGGTCATGCAAGATGCCACTGGGAAAGTAATCTCCTGGAGGGTTGCCAAAGTGCCTGGCTTTGGTTTTGATTTTCTGAGGTACTCAAGGCTTTCACACATTGTATGTACAAGGAGCTGTTGTCTGTCTGGGATTTGGGACACCCAAGTTCAGGTCCCTGCTCTGCCTCTGCAGTTTGCTGTCACTGTGGGCAAGCACACTCTCATTTGCTTTTTTTTCTGAATGCAAGGAGAGCTAATAAACTCATGCTTTCCTTCATTCAGTTCTGGAACTGACTCTGAAGTTTTTACAATGCTCCAAATACATGAATGACAGGGTCTTAGAGGCAATGAGTGCTTGCATTACTGCAGCATATATTGGATATTAGGGGTGAGATGAAATGTACATTGATAATTTGGAGTGTTTGAGAGGGAACAGGGTAAGACGGGCTGCTGGCTTTTTGGCTTTTCTCGTATTCTTTGTAGTGTTTGAGAAAATTCAGCTGCTCTTCCTAAAATACAGAAACCCAGCTGAGCCAACATATAATGGAAACGCTTTGAGAAAATCGGTGGAGAGGAGAAGGTGGACAGTTCAGCTATGAAGTAGACACATGTTTCTAATTGCCTATTTCCACTTTCTACTCAATGAAAAATATCAGAAGTCATTGAAGGAAATTATGTCTGTACTCTGACATAAATCCTTATGCAAAGTGTAATTAGCTGTCAGTAGCATTTGCCACCATTGAGTACCTGATTATAATAGTTGCTTGACATCTTTTTGTGAATGAGTGCTGGAGGGAGACAAGAAACCCCCTTTGCTGCTGCCTTTTAAGTTGTTTAATGCAGAAAATGGTGGATGCTTGGGGTTCCCAGGGTAGTTTCTGTGGGGGTCACCAAACTTTTTGCTCCGATATCCTCAGACTCCCCTTTCCTTCCCATCCCTTCCAACTGTCACACCCGATCTCTTTTTCTCCTTCTCTCTGTAGCTTTTCTACTGCTCCCCTTCCCTCCCTCACCCTTTGTCATCTGACCCTCCCACTGAGACAGAGAGCAAAGAGGAGGATCTCTCTCTGCTGAGAAGGAAGAAGGATCAAAAAACAGCAGTAGATGCAAAGTTGGGTGTGATTCCTTCCTCCATTTCAGGTAAGTAAATGTGTTGGAGGAGATCCCAGGACTAAGTAAATGTATGTTTAACCCATTCTGAATAATAATTTTCTTCCTTAATTGAGAGTCAGTCTCTTGTTTTTCTCCAGTGTTTCACAATATGTCTGAACCAGCTTTTGTGAGTGTTTGAAATCCCTCCCTCTCTCCCCACGTCTTGTGGCAGGGAGGAGTGCAAGGGCAATGCCTCTGAGACCCATTGCATTATAACTTTGTCCCTTTAAGGTCTTTCTGCCTCAGAGTTCAGTAACACTAAGAAGCTCCCCATCAGGCAGGCAATATTCTGCTTTAAAAGCTGTTGTGATCTTTGCTGTTGCACCCGTGAGAGCCAACCTGTGGCCTGGGCTCAGGATGCTGCTCCGAAAGAGGTGGCCGGCAGAGCGTGCTGCTGCGGACAAGGACAGTGCTAGCCAGGTGCGTGTGACCCCATGGGCTGCCTGCGCAGAGGCATGGACGGATGTAGAGCTCATGTGTCTGTGCATGTCTGCCCCCAGACACAATTCTGATGAAGATATTCCTGCAAGGGAAAAGTAGTTAAGTGTATTATTTTCTTCAGTCTGGTTGCTAATTTATTCCGGATATGTTAAACAACGTAATTAAACACACACACACATGCTAAAAACTCTTGTTCGCTGTCAGAAGAGAGGGAACGAGTGTCAGACCCAGCCTTCAAGCTCTGTTAGTTTTAATTTGAGTTTTGGAATTAGTAATCTGTTTTGCTGGAACACTGTTGCAAGAAATAGATCTTAGCATGCATGGGGCCTGGGCACAGTTTCAAATGAGTATTTGTTAAGAAGAAGCCATTCCCTTGTCGTGTTATGGTACATTACATGAGATTTATTTCCATTGTATTAAAAAATGCAAGCCCAAGGGGAATGTTCTCTCTTCTTGTTGGCCAAGGGTGATTTCTGAATTCCATCTGATTTTTTTGTGGGGCTTTTAATTAAAACAGGGAGATGCAAAACTCCTTATTTTTCTAGGCTGTTTCTACAATGCCAGGAGGCCAAGTGACTTGAAGCACCAAGAAAGGTGATGACACTAAGTAAAAACTGTGTGTGGGGGGGGATGGGACGGGACGGGACACTGTATCACACTTTCAGTGTGGCTGGTCTGTGTTTTTCGCATGTGTGAATGATTCACAATAAAAATATGAGGCTTTGCTCTTACTGGAGCCATCTGCTCTCTTTGTACCATACCAGGAACATATCAGATCTACAGAGAAGTTTCGCAGGAAAAGAGCCCTTTCACCTACTTAAAAAAAAAATAGTGATGGCATCTGGTGGCTTGAAACTGAAACTAAGTGACTTCAGACTAGAAATTAGCACAGCAAAGTTAATTAACTATAGAAGTGGCTTCCCCAGGGCATGTGGAGGATTTTCCAGTGCTCATTTATGAGAAGGTACATCTGAAGTGGAAGCCAGGAGCTAGGGGCAGGAATCTCTGCATCAGGTGCAGTGGCATCTGTCATGCAAGAAGCCAGAGGAGGTGATCACAGTGATCCTTCTTGACCTTAAAAGTCTGCTAATGCAAGGCTTCACCAGGGGCTTCTCTTTTCATAAGGAGAGGGACAAAAGGGGAATGAATTACAGCTCAGGACAGTTAAAGTTTTGTTTTTGTGAGGGCAAATGCAAATGAAGGGTGAAAGCTGGTGTGGATCTCACATTATGTTTTGACCCATCAACATGTAATTTTGCATGACGAAAGGTGCTGGAGGAACCAGGAGGCAAGGCAGGCTGGACAGCCTTCCTGCTACTTCTCTGAACTCTACAACAGAGCTTTTTAGCTGAAGGAGGATTCACAGGAGATGGTGCACGTGTGTGTGCCTCTCTGTATATCCATGCAGCTCTGGGGAGTGCACCTGAAAGCCCCTACTCTGGTTAGACAGAAGAAGAAGATGTCCTTTTTCAGCACAAGAAGGACATGGACCTGTTGGAGCGGGTCCACAGGAGGGCCACAAAAATGATCCAAGGGCTGGAGCACCTCTCCTACGAGGACAGGCTGTGAGAGTTGGGGTTGTTCAGCCTGGAGAAGAGAAGGCTGCGGGGAGACCTTATTGCGGCCTTTCAATGCTTAAAGGGGGCCTATAGGAAAGATGGGGACAATCTTTTTAGCAAGGCCTGTTGTGACAGGACAAGGAGTAATGGTTTTAAACTAAAGGAGGATAGATTTAGACTGGATATAAGGAAGAAATTTTTTACAATGAGGGTGGTGAAGTACTGGAACAGGTTGCCCAGAGAGGTAGTGGAGGCCCCATCCCTGGCAACATTCCAGGTCAGGCTGGATGGGGCTCTGAGCAACCTGATCTGGTTAAAGCTGTCCCTGCTCACTGCAGGGGGGTTGGGCTAGATGACTTTTAAAAGGTCCCTCCCAACCCAAAGCATTCTGTGGTTCTATGATATTGTTCTGGTGCCACTGCTTGTGCAAATGTGCATGTTTTCCACCTTCCTGTGCCGTTCTCCTACTCCTGTCCCAAAAGCCCTCCCACCCCACAGTCCAGCATCTCCATGGGCGATGCACTGCTTCCCTTTGGAACAAAAGTGGATCTTTGACAGCAAGAGTCCTGCTGTACTCTTTGATGACTGTAAAGGGGACAGAGTCCACAACAGGAGATTTTGTCTCCTGCATCCTTCCCTAGCTGTGCCAGAAGATGTATTAGCAGGTCTGCCCATTCTAGGGTTTCACTGCATCTGTGAAATGCTCACTTTTCCTAAGTGAATTGCCCTTTTCCTTTAGACATGTTAACAAAGAGGGGTTCGAACATGCTCCAGACTGGATTAGCTACAGATGCTACACGACTGCCCAGTTTAAATACGAATCTACAATTCAGATCTGTTTAAACACTGGCCTCCAAATGAACTACTGAGTCCAAAAACCCCAGACCTTGGTGCACATTTATGTGAGCAAGTAGTGCAGGTGGGATCCAGGTCTGGATGTTGCAGCTTGGTCCCATCTCAGCACTGTAGCTTTAGGGAGTCTGGTGGAGCGTCTGTGTAAGCTGGTAGGAAGCCACCCCCTAATCTGTCTGGGGCCTTTGGAGCAGATCCCAAGGAAAGGCAAGTCTCTGCCTTCTTTAGGTCTCACAGGGAGTGACTGTTAAGCACTCACTTGTGGAAATGAAATAACTAACTCAAAAAAATGCCCTGGGCACAGGTGTGATCCATGGCCAGAAGGGTCCTGGGTACCTCTGAGCATCTTCCCAGCTCGCACCACCTCGCTCCTCCCCTGCGTCTGCAGCTCCTACTCCATCCCCTACACTCGCTTATGTTGCAGATGTACCTCAATGCTAACACAGTGGCTCGCTAACAGCTTTGCTCTCTGTCCTCAGGGAAGACTCAAAATTGAATTTGTAGCAGTGACAGCACTGGTTTAAGATAAACCAGTTGGGATTTGACGACTACTCTTTACCCAGGCATTTCCAGCTAATAAGGATTTTGTCACTGTGACTGCCCTCAGCTTTGCAAGCTGCTGCTCCACAATCCTCTTGGGGCGGGGGGAGGTGTTTGCTTTCCCACACACTCCTAAGGCACCACTTCGGATGGGGAACTAATGGCAGTCCATGTCTCTCCTTCACAGGAAAGGGGCACGATGCTTGCCCCTGACTCAGCTTTGACATTGGAGCAGGGCTGGCAAACCACAGAGGCAACGGGAAGCCTCCAGAACCTGAAGAAATTTAACAACCAGGACTTCAACAGCCTGCGAACCTTGTGTCTGAGCCAAGGACTGCTTTTTGAGGATGCCACCTTCCCCGCTCACATCAGCTCCATTGGTCCCAACCTGCTCCCACAGGATAAGCTGTGGCAAATACAATGGAAGAGGCCAACTGTGAGTTACGCCAGCTGGGGTGTTTCGTAGCCATGCTGATGGCCAGGGGCTAAAGGCTTTCACCTTGGGGAAGGAGATTTGTGCTGCGCATGGAAGTAGACCCCAAGGGGAACACTGGGAGCACAACACTGCAGGGAGGGATCCTTGCTGTGGGATGTATGGAGGGAAGATAACCTCCGTAACTTTAATGATTGAATTTGCTACATTTTTGTAGGAAGCTTGTTTCCACCTGTGAACCGCACTAGAACTAGTGTTCCCACTTTGATCTGCTTCTAGAGGACTTTGTGCAAACCTGCAAAGCTGTCAAATTTGATTAAAGATCTCTGATTTCTGTAATCCAAGCCACTGACTCAGCAATACCTATTTTAAAGTAATTGGGACAAGGCATGAGATGAAGTACGTTTGTCTCCTCATTCCCAGTTGCAGTTTAATAGGCAATTTTCATCATCTGGCATATGGATGTTTAAACTGGGAGGTGGAATCACTTACTCAGCTCTTTTATCCTAGGACCTAATTCAGGGAATTTTTCTGCTGTATAGCAGTGCTGTGTACCACTTGCTGCTGGTGCAGCTACTGGGTTTGCCATGGCATTGCCCTTCTGCTGGGTTTTGCTGAGCGCACCACTCGTGCCTGGGGCCTTTGCCTTCCCTGGGCTGGAGCAAACCAGTTCATCTCCCTGAAGGCAACCTCTCAGCGTGTAGAGACAGTAACTGTGAGACTGTAGAGACAGGACAAGACAACTGGAAAATATTTATTTGGACAGCAGATGCAAGTAGAGCAATGAGGGTATGCTGGAGTTTGGCAGTGTGGTAGCCTTGGCATAGCAGCAGCAGTGGCTGCTGCTAGTAGGGATGTTGAAAGCCGTGGCTCACAGAAGGGAAGCAGGCTGGCCCAGGGAGTCTGCACAGCTGCTGCATATGGATGCCTGAATGGAAAGGCAGAAAGCCCCGGCGCTGGTGTAAAAGGAATGTGATGTGGTGAAGTATCAGATGGAACAGAAGGTGCAGCCTGGACACCAATAGGGCTGTGGCTGCAGTGTTGTGGTGATAGGGATAGGGCATGAAGCTTGAGCTTCTCACTACCTGCTGCTGCAGCAGGGCCTGAAAGTGTTAGAAAAATTTTATGTGCAGAGGTACAGGCACTTGCAATCTGTGTCGATGCTTTATTACATGGCTTGGTAGGTGTGGAGGTGCTAGGTGCAGATGTCTGGGTGTCCTTGGTGGAGCTGCTATGAAGGGTTCATTCTCCTCTGCAGAAGCAGCTCCTACTGCTGGCTGAACATCTGGGTTTCTCCTCAGGCAGCCTTTCTTCAAATCCGGGTCCAGTGAGAATGCAGCTGGTGCTGCATTGGTGTTTTTTACACCAGTACTTTGCTTACAGGTTCATAGCATGTGGGCATAATCTCTCTTGAAATGGGGGTTATAGTAGAAGACTGAAAAATGCAAAGGAAAGGAGTTAGTTGCCACCATTTCCAGACAGACAAAGACAAAGATAGGATAACTAAGCATTAGACTGACAAAAGCCAAACGTGGATATTAGAAAGGACTCTCAGGGGCATTTTAAAGATTAATAAACTGGAATAAAATGTTATGATACAGTTCTGTTAAGTACTAACCACTCCGGTGTTTTTGCTGCTTGGGAGCAGCAGAGAAGCATAGGATTTCAAAAGCATACAAACTGACTTAGAAACCCAAATACCACTAATTTTGGGGCACCATAGTGTGGGATGAACATCTATCCTACTTGAATATCCTGAGAGTTATTTCATGTGCAAAGGGAGTGATGTACCTTGCCAAAAGCAGAACCTGCTGCTGTTAGTGCTTGAAGTTTGTCATATGAGGCAGGTGTTGGAGAATTCCCTTCCATTTTGCTGAACCCATGAAGATTAAGCTGATGAATGAAAGTTTTCATGGAACTTGTTTAAAAAATTTGCAGAGGTCCTCTCCTTCCCAGCACTTCCCTTTTGAAGATTTTTTTCGGCAATCACTACACAGTTTCCCGCATCACCCCACCAAATTGACCGAAACCAATTGCATCCAACAATTTTCCAGAGTTTTTTCTCTGGGAAAGAGAGTGGCATGAAAAGTCATTGGCTTCGCCAGAGCTCTCTCTGAAAAATTAAGCCGTACGCTCATGGTCCACGGTTCACAACGTGAACAATAAAAAGCCTCTTCTATTATAGAGGTTAAGGCAGCATCACCAGCTGCTCTTCTATGATGTATTTAAGGGACAAAAGTTGCGACTGCTGACTCAACTGGTTTATCTGGAACAGAAACACAGGATGTGAGTGCTGAAGAAGGCTCCATTTTAATTTTTTTTTTCTTGGTTTGACCAAAATTTCCACCTGTAGCCATTTCCCGACCAGCCAGGCTTCATCCTGCTAGACAAGATGCAAGATGAAGGGCAATGGTACCAAGTGCCTGGGGAGCCCAGCCAGAAGTCCTCAAGTGTCACCACAACACCCATGTGGTGTCATGGTGACATCAAAGTGTGGCCTCCATCTCCTGGCAGAATGAAGCATGGGCAGAAGTAGTTGCTAAATAGCAGTGGTTACTTTTCATTTATAGAGCTGCAGCAGATGTTTTGAGCCAAGGGACCATAAATAAATAAAACTGTATTTGCATTTCAAATGTCCTGAGAGGCCAGCACTGCGTTCAGTTGCCTCTGTGAGTTGGTCCCCCGGGAGGAAGAGGGAAGGCTGCAGTGTTGGGAGTCAAAGTGCCCCATTCCTGAAGTTTTTCAGTTGGGCACCTTTCACGCATGCAGAAATGTTCATAACCTCTTTGTTCTTAGGTCATTGCAATGCTAACTGTAAGGATACATGATTCCAGGTGTTTAAGCTGCCTAAACTACTTGGCAAAGAGATACCTATAATTTCCCCAAGGGAGACTGTTTCTTACCTGAATACATCTCACAGAGAGTGTGTGTAGTTGCATCCTGCCAACAGAGCATGGCCAATTTAATCTATGTCTGTATTTTTCTCAGCCTCCACCATTAGCTCCCTCTGATATTAAAAAATTTGGCTGGAAATGTACCTGTGACAAAACTGGCATCTTGGTCCTGATAATCTCTTAGCCTCCATTTTCTGAGTCATATAGTATCTGGTTATTTAAGTGGTAGATAGCAATTATAACTGCTGTCGTTGTTCCAGATCCAACTGAGCAGCTGAGCAACATGCTGCTTCTATTTTACCTTGTACATTGTCAAGAGAATTGCCAATTATGCTCAGAGTTTGGAGTCGTCATATCTGGGGGTAATGTATAAAGTAGAAAGAAAACAGCTTGATTTTCAGACAGCAATAGTCAGTGGTGACAGTCAGAAACAACTTATTTTGACTTGTAAAGTGAGCTGATTTAATATGGGAGTCCCTGAGGGGGGAGATGGATCAGGAGTACCAAGACAACATTTGAAATGTCACTTTTCCTAACTCTGCAGTAGTTGCAGTTTCCCATCAGATGGGAACTGCTCCAGGCTGTATTTTCATCCCCAGGCCCTCAGTCTACATCCATTGAAACGTGCAATTTGTAACAGAGATTTTGCATGTGGTACTTCAAGCACTACTAGAGGTGGGGTTGGAGGTATTAGATACAGCAGGAGCTCTGCAATTAACTGGTCTTTTAGTTCACCCACTGTTTGGAGAAATGAAAGAGAGTTCTATTTTAGACTGAACAAAGTATTTTCTATAGGTGAGCTTTTCTAAAGATCATTCAAAGGGAAATTCTCCTTCAAGATTTATGTAAGATTTTAAAAACTGAGATGCTCCTTTAAAAAATATTCAGAACACATTCTTTCATTGTTCGGTGCTTTTCCTTCACACAAGCAATTGAGTGGAACAGAGGAAGTCAGAAAATGATTTGCTGTTGCTGAATACATGTTTCTAATTAATTAATGTTTTAGCTAAAGATTTCACTCTGTTCTGATCATAATGCATAATACTATACGGATGCAAAAAGAAACTGAATTAGGATGATCCAGACGATGTGAATTGTGGTGGTGCTGAATTCTGAGTGCTTTATTTTTGCTAATGTTGGTTGTATTTTCAAACATGGTATGTGTGAGGGGAGAGAGATTACCACGTATGCAGCAGTGCCTTGGCCCTGAACGAGGGATAGCCCAACATGGTGCTTGATATGGTGTCTGTTAAAAAACTGATTAAGGATAGTCCCTGATCTTTAGCGCTTATGCTTTGTAAGGCTAAAACAGGCAGAGGGTGAAGCTGCTGAAGGTTTTTCTGAAGAGTCTTCAAGGTCACAGATTATTGCTCCTGCAGCTGCTCACCCTTCATCTCTTGGGGACCCTGTTGCTACCTTATGGGGTGAGTGATTGCTGAGCAAGAGCTGGTGTAGGAGGGTCCATCCCCTGCTTAACATAGGCTGTGACTTGGGGACGGGGGGCAACCAGAAGAGAGGGAAAAGCTGCAAGGTGGCCAATGGAGGTTTAAGGGTCAGCATGAGAGAAATCCCTGAGTGCCTCTGATGCGACTTGTAGGAGGGTACGTGGTGAAAGGACTGTCTGAAATAGCCAACGTGGGTTTCCTCTGCATCATCGCAGTCTGTTTGTAGCATCAGAGCATGGACTCCTTGGGTATTTGTCTCATGTGTCTGGTGTCAGGGGAAGGGAAGAGCAGGGTGTAAAAGAAGTTCTTGGATAGAAGCCACAGAAAGAGGCTGCTTTAGCGTGAACTTGAGCAAGGGATATACCTTGTTCCCTTAGCAGAGACTCAGGGAACCGTGTTATTGCTTTTTAGCATCTAAAAAGCATTGGGGAAAACGATACACTTTGAGTGAATGCTTGTTTGTTGGAAAAAGCGATTCATCATTTGATTCAGTAATTCTCCAAAAGGGCTTGCTCACATTTTTTCCTCTCTTCCTCTGTCCCTTCCCAACGCAAATGTTAACCTCCTTTCAGCAACAGAGTGCCTAACATGATTCTACACTGCTTTTGGTGACTGGTATTTGTTTATTGGCATTTTATTTAATTCCCAGAGATTTTCAGGAAGT